TAGGGAAAAGTGCCAAAAGCTCCGTTGAAGCGTGTGATCTATACAGACGTTGTGGAGCCGGGTTGAATGAACACACACAACTGTTTTGGTTTTGGTTTTTTTGGTGCGGGGGTGGTTTCCACGTCTGTCAGCAGCCTTTGGGCTGCTCACACTGTGTGTATGGCCAGAGGAAAGCCGGTTTGCTTGCTTGTGCCATGTGCACAGCTATAAAGCGGTCAAAGCTTTATAAAGTGCTGTATGCCTGGTCAAAAGGAAGGCTGTGGAAGAGAGCCAGGCTGCCTGTGCTGCCTGCATGGCAGGGTAGAGCTGGGCTGCTTGCACTGCCCACATAATTGGGGAGAAGTGGGGATGCTCACATGGTTGAGGAGGGTACTCTGGTGAACACACATGGCATGTGCTGCCTCCATGCTGTCCAGAAGTTGGGACACCCTGATTTAGAGGATGAATTCAAGAACTTTTTCAGTAGTTTTTCTTATTCTATCCCAGAACTCAGGACTAGATTCCTCACTTGCCAGAGAGAATATTTGTGCTTCAGATAGAAATAAGGCTGCAGTTCACTCTCAGAACAAACACATTACTATTTCCCAAAATGTTGCATTCTAAAGAGTCACATGTTAAAGGATTTATTTCACAATTGTCATTTAATCTGGTCTGTCATTTAGTAATTCAGGGTTTTTCTGAGAACTGCTTCCCCACACAGATTTTATGATGTGCAACATTATCCTTTATAATTTTGGCTTTTAACTGCATGTCAGTGCCAATACAGGAAGGTTAATTCAATAGAAGATAACATACCATTAGTTGAATGGAGCCCAGTGTTTACTTAGTAGACTGTTACAATGGGGAAACATAATATACCTCAGTTATAGTTTAACTTGCACCCAAAGCCATAAAGGAAGTTGAACTGATGAATGTAAATCAGACTGCAGATCTGGCTTGGTGCCCTCTTTGGACACTAAAAATCAAGATCAAATTTGGCTTTCAGAACAATGAAGTCCATGAAATGGATGGCTTCAAAAGATTTGTGTTTTTGTTTTAATGTCTCTCTTTTCCGAGAAGTTACTCTATAAGTGGTGTGATGTGTTTTTGCTTTCCTCTATGTGATGCCAGACCACACTTTTTCAGTTTAAAAAGAGAGAATTTTGGGATCAAGGAAGTTTGGGATCTGAAAAACTAAGCTGTTTTCTGCTTCTTGAGTCATCACTGGTAATAAACATGCTATAGGCCAAATCGGTCCATGTACATGTCAACTCCATTTCCATTAGAATGTAAATTGTAAATCAAATATTATTTATGTACCAGACTAGCTTAGTGACAAGAGTTGTGCGACATAAGAGGAGTTTGGTCCATCTCAGGTGCAATTTGTAATTTAAGAGATAACAGGCAGTGTTAGCATTTTCATTTATCTTGTGTGAGCAGAAGTTGTTTGTTTGGATCAGATAATGGAATGGCTAAGTACAGCAGCTCTCTGGTGGATCGGTCTCTTATTGCATGTGCATATTATGAAACACAGCTGAGAAATCAGGAATTAATATTTACTGCTGATCTTTTTTTTCCTCTTCTAATTTAAACAGCTTTCAACTTAGAGACTTGCAGGCTCATGATCTCAATGTTGGATGTATCCTTTGTCTTACTCCTTTTAGCAAATACATTTACACAGTATACATATTTACACAAAATTACATTGAAATTACATTAAAAGAAAGAGGTAAGGACACAGATTAGGAAATGCCAGAATCAAGATAGCATTTGCTCCCATTCTGCATGTAATTAAAGATCTTTGTCGTCATAGTTAATTACATAATATTCGCCTCCCAAAATCTGAGTCTTATTCAGGGCTGAGGATGGATCTGCTCTGGGGATGACTCAGGGTTGTGTAGTATATGAGCCTGTTTTCTACAGGACCCTTCCCTCATTTGTTGCAGAAAAAGCAAGATGGGGAACAGGTAAGGAATGGAATTACAAGAGAAGAGAGAGTCTCGTGATGAAGACAATTGGATGCTGCCCTTGAAAACTGATTTCTATCCCTAATCTGCTGAATTGCTGTGTGTCACAAAGCACCTTTTAAACCAAGCTTCTCATAGATTGTCCCTGAGAACACTGATTATTTTGTAGGTATTCAGCTTTTGGCTCTGAGGTCCAATTTGCAGAAATGCCTAACATCTACAGCTGCAATTGAACTGTGTGGCAGAGCACAGAGTGTCTCTGCCACTTTAAGGGCCTGGAGCTGGCAGCCTCCAGGTGCCTGATAAGGGCAGCCATTTTGAGGCCTAGGCTGCCTATATAAACAAGGCAGTTTGGCTGCTGGAGGCAGGCAACAACATCGCCTGGCCGCAGGGCTGCTGCGAATGATCCGGAGATAAGGGGGAGCTGCAAGGGGTTGGCAGGAGGCTCCTGGTCCTGGGCATGACCTGAAACTGCACCCTGCTGGGAGTGGGTGGTCTGGTGGGGCTCTCAGTGGCGCGGGAGCCCCCAGGAAATGCCAGGCCAGTGATCACCCCGGTGAAAGGCGGGTCGGGGCACCTTAACCCCTAGCTCCCACCACCGGGTGGGTAACCCTATGTTGGAGGGGCCCAGAGGGCGGACCC